CCATATAAGGTAAAACTCCGACTAATGGCTCATAGTCGGAGTTTTTGAGCCAATCAGAGAGCTAGAAATGCAATAGTCGGAGCTGAGAATATACTAATAATCCTTATTATATGTTTGTAGCCGATGTAACGCGCGCTCTGATTGGCCAATTGTAGGGCATTATTCTCCCGTAATGCCCACGGGCCGATTACGGACCTGCAAAACCAAAGCAAAAAGCCATATAATAAACAACTTGCAAACCTCGAACGTTCGGTTTTTACGGGAAAATCTCAAACCTCTACCTTGCCGAAATACGACAAGGTCTCGGTTCGAGATTTTCCCGTAGAGACCTCACTCTTGGTTAATAAGTAGTTAATATCTAAGGCCACCACTTCATCTGTTGCTTTTAAATCATCTCACGTAATTTACCTTCTGTTCCAACCTCAGCACAGGGACACGAAGCAATCAATGGAGGGTGGTCATCATGGACTTCATGGAACACCTGTGATAAAACCTGCGGTGATGGAATCCAGCACAGAATAAGACGCTGTGACAGCCCGAAACCACAGAATGGAGGGCTGCCATGCTATGGCAACGAGCTGAACCAGAGGAAATGTAACGTGAAGAAATGTCCTGTTTGTAAGTACTTGGCGTTTTACTTTCCTGCTTAGCCGTCCAAACGCAGCCATATTTTGGGCAGTCAACCCTAATCAGTCTTTGAGGAGACTCGCTCATCGATGCAGGATAACATCGGCCAAGTAACGCTGTTTATCTTCAATACTTCTCATTGAAACGCTTCCCAGTGGTATCAATCGATATTGTTGTGTATTAATTTTGAATCGCTTTATTGTTAACAACAAAGGTGGCAACAGAAAAAGAAGGTGGTATTCCGTGACTATCTGATAATTAAATTAGTTCTTGTTCATCTGTGATAAGAAAATTTGCATTTTGAGGAAAAACAAAATTGTTTCTCTTCCATTTCTTCGTCAGATATTTAACTTTCTTTCATATATCCCCCAAAACAAGCTTATCTTCCATGTGGTTTGGAGAAAACAAGAGTTTTCATGTTGGCCGTCGATAAAACCAGGAACATGGAACATTCCGGAACATCCCGGAACATCGAATAATTATCATAATTACGCGAAAAATATGTAAAATAAAATTT